CCCCAAAACCCCAAAACCCCAAAACCCCAAAACCCCAATTTAAAGCTTATGCTCTAATAAAATTTAACTAAATTAAAAAAGTAAAGCTCAGCTTGTAGAATACCTCAACGTTTCATTGAAAAATTGACCTCATTGTTTCAATAAAGGCAAGAAGTTTGTAAATTATTCCTTGATTTCAGACTCTAGGCACATTTCTGAAACAAAGATTGCTCTGAATAGATTCATAAGGAAGTACAAATGTTGGAACAACCCATTGGAAGTCAACTATTTTGTGCAGACTAGGGGAACAATAGATTGTATTTTTCACGTTTTATGGGAATGAGTAAAAATAGATAGAAAAAGAAACCTAATGTTGAGAGTCCTTCTTCATTCCTTGTTTTCCAATATTGGTTCAGAATTGGAGAAATTATCGATATCACATTCTGTCCGTACTCTGGTTTTATCAGGGGAAGTAAAACTCCAAGAAGTTATTGAACACCAAGTAAAACATCTTTGCACATAGAGGGTGTTTCAAAAGCCTTTAGAAACAAGAGTTATTGTACTTTTCGATAGCTTTGAATGGAGAGCCCTCTCTAAGCCCTTCACTTTGCAGAAGATTCATAACAAACCATGAGAGAGCCTGATATACAAATTTAAATAAATCGTAGTCATTATGGTCGCTTTGGGGAAAAGGAAATTCCGACTCATTGAATAATGCATCCAAACACTCTTTGGCTCCTTCAATGGTGCTGTACTGGATTATATGAAATATTTTTCTGAAGAGAATTCTGGAGAACTCCCTTGTGTCTCTCAGAACTTTCTTCTTGAAAGTATCAGCTCTGGGCTTCTTAGTTGGATCAGCTTCTCTTCTTTCTGTTTTTGAGGCAATGTATTGCTTCCATTTAGGAAGAACTTGAGTGATTATCAAGTCATAAAGACTGATCTTTTCACCCTGTTCAGTTTGTTGCAGATAGGCATTGTAGGAGTTTTCTAAACCATTATAAGAGCCACCTTACTGTCATAGATATCCTTAGTCTAAAGTATTTGTCAAAGTCTTTGCTTGATATTTTCTGTGTTTAATTCCATTGCTGGGTGAAGTCATCTGAAAGACATAAGCAATTTCGCTTGTGTTGAAATAGGTACGAAAAATTAGAACCTCTGAGATAGCTCAGCATTGTAGCTCAGAGTATAGATCAGGTTAATTGATCAATACAAGAAGAGTATCTGGTCATCGTAAAGAGAAATTCAGGTAAACAGAATGATGCAGAGGAGGAGTAGGAATGGTTCACCTTATGTTTGGGCATGAAAATTTGGGTACAAGTAATCCATTTTAATTAAGATTATCAACTTGTTTGAAATTTTCTTTATATACTTTGCTCATTATGATCATTTAGCCAGGAACACCTCAGATATCTGGAAGAACTTAAGCAAGAGACTCTCTAAGCATTAAAATCCTGGTGACAGAGAAGTATCGATGTTTATGCTGTAAATGAAGCCACATTCAATTCTTTCCTCTAAAATTATATCAATCTAAAGAGTAGATTTTTATTATATTTTTGATTTTCAAGATATTTTCTAAAACTCTTGTCAATGCCAATATAAGTGCTTCAAATTTAGAAGAAGAAATGATTCATCAGCACCCATACAGAGATGTAGCCCAAATTTACTTAAAGTATTTCCTCTGCCTGCCAAATTTGCACTTTAAGGTTATGTTTAGCATAAATATGTTCTGAAATTTTAAAGCGACTTGTAATTAAAAGTAAAAATACAAATCTCAACTAATAACTCTTAAACAGAGAAAATCTAATAACCTATCTATTTGCTCAGGTATGAATCTCTACACATCTGTGGGATGCTACTCAATGAAGTAGATGATGCTTCTCGAATAGTTTAAGAACCCCGGTAATAAATTTCCCAACTTATTTACATTTTAAGAATGCTACAATACCAGTCATTCCATTGCATATTTAGGTGAAGGTTCTATCGAAGCTTCTTTCATGTATCTTACAAATAAGAGCATGAACAAATATATTAAAGTGACATCACTTTAGACTTTAAGCAAATAATAGCAGAGAGATTATGTGAAAAGTGCTCATTCCTTCTTATTCATAGCATTTTGGATCTTGCTATTCGACCTAGCTCATTTACTGCTTAAAAAATGTTGCTCAAGTTCTGAAATTTGGACCAGACTTAAAATTCAAACAAATTTAAAGGATTTTTTATGAGCAAAATAGGTTTCATCTTCCGAAAAGTAAACCCAAGTTTAATGGGGATATCAGTGGTTTTATTGTCAATATAATGTCTCTGGCTTATCCAGAACTCTTTCGTTTTGAAATATTATGCATCTTTCAAAATCCATAACTAGACCCAGATATCATGTTTAAATTTTGTCGGTTACTTTCTATCAGACTTTTTCTTTCTATTATTAAAATTAAGTCACTTTCAGCCATAACGAAGCAAACTTCATCCATTTTTGGATCAGATACAGCATCGAGTTGAACAAAAATATTACAATCAATTGTGTGCAGGGGCTTGGTCTCTAGAAGTTAGATTTGACCTTGTTAGTAGTATTTAGGCTATAACCCACTTATCAAAATTTTAATAGAATTTCTTTACAAGTTATATCGCTTTATCTTTTCATTCACATTATCCTTTGTATGTAAACCTCTTTTCTTGTAGGCTTTATTCAGCTTTCATCATCTTGATTAAAAGAGGTTGGACACTTCATCTCCCGATTGTTTTAATACTAAAAAAGCCAACTAACAATTCCTGTGAATGGAAGCTTAGGCATGATTACAGGCATAGAACTGGTTAAAGAAATTACATTTAACGATTATTAAGTCATATTTCTGAATTTAGAATCTTCAATAGGAGAAAATACTTCAGGGGTTTTGGGGTTTTGGGGTTTTGGGG